TTCGATGAAAGGTGGACTAAGAGAGTTAAGAAACAATTGTTATAGTCAACTACACAGAAACACTCAAGAATTTTGTTTTTAGATCAATATTTTTGCACATCATTTGCTAAATGAGTCTACAAATCTGAACAAATGGAAGATTTCAGAGAACTGAAATATAAACGCTCTCTAAAATGTCTAGCAGTATAATACTGAATGCATCCAAAAGGGCATTTCATGAAATCGCTGGTAATTTATACGATCTCACTGGAGGTCAAAGGGCATCCCACATGTATAAGATCACCAAAACAATTAACCCTAAAAAAATCGTTATAAATCCTTCCCAAATCAAACTTTACCATTATTCTTGACACTTTTTACAAAACTATGACTTTGAAAGATTAAAAGATCATTTAATTATTTTGATATATAATGAACTCATATTTTTCAATTTGTTTTAATTGTGAGCCCAAAACAACGGGCATAATTTTTTTTTTCAAAAAAGCTTTTCCACTTTTTGAAAAACAAAAGAATAAGAAAAATATTTTTGAACAAGATAATCTCTCTGGGGAATGTATCTTGAAAATTCAGAAATATCTCTCAAGCATGGAAGCTCAGGATCAATGGTGGGACAAGAGTTTGTTGAAGCATCATTATCATTCATGAAAGCATGCACTTGCATCACTGACATATTTGTATCAAACGTTTATCATTCATTCCTTAAGATCATTTGTCTCTCATTTCAAATTTGTCTTTTTTAAGATCATTTATTCCCCTCTCTTAAGGAGCCCATTGAAAATTTTCAAAAATTATGTCTTCCTTAAGATCACAAGACTATTTTCCCTCTCTCGAGGACATCTTTAAAGAATCTTATCTTTCTTAATATCACTTTCCTCTCTTAAGGATATCTTTAACTTTTTAAAAGAAAATCTTTGACCACAAGACCATTTTCTCCTCTCTCGAGGATTCCATTAAAAATGAATCTTCAAAAACAATCTCTGCTTTCTCAAGACCGACCATTTAACCTTTCTCAAGGACTTATTTAAAATTTTCATAGAATCATCCCCTTTCCTGAGGATGTTTTTAAGAGTTTATCTTCAAAACAAAAATTTTATCTCCCTTGAGATAATTTTTATGGGAACAAACATTTTCTATCTCACTCGAGGTAGCTTTCATCAAGAACAAATTTCATCTCACTTGAGATAGCTTCTCTTGAAACAAAAATTTCATCTCTCTTGAGATATTTTCCTTTGAAATTTTTTTTTCTCACTCAAGACAGTTTCTCTTGAAACAAAAATTTTATCTCCCTTGAATATTTTGTCTCACTCGAGACAGTTTCTCTCGAAACAAAAATTTCATCTCTCTTGAAATATTTTCCTTGAAAATTTTCCATCTCACTCGAGACAGTTTCCCTTGAAATAAAAATTTCATCTCTCTTGATATATTTTCTCTTGATTTTTTTTGACTCACTCAAGATAGTTTCTCTTGAAACAATAATTTTATCTTGCTTGAGATATTTTCCCTTGAAATTTTTTGTCTCACTCGAGACAATTTCCCTTGAAACCAAAATTTCATATCCCTTGAGATGTTTTCTCTTGAAAGATTTCATCCCACTCAAGACATTTTCTTGACATGACTCAACTCACGATGATGAGCTAATTTTCTACACTTTGGGCATGCCTAGGAACATTTCATTCATGACTTTCATGCATGTGTAAGATTTCATAGATCGTTTGAGCTAGTTTCAAATCTACAAAGAACGATATTGCACTCGAAGCATCCAAGATTGACTTAGACTCATGAAGGAGAGTCATCCAAGTAATCAAGACCGACTTAAACTGTGAAGGGGGTCATCTCGCTTGGCTTAAACCCAAGAATGAGAGCCATTCAAAGAATTCTTCACTTGGAGGAATCATTTATAGCATATCTTAAGTCGAGAAGAGCTATCTATTCAATAACACATTGATAGTATGGTAACAATGAGGACTACCTTTTAGTTAAAATTCAAATTAAGGTATTTAAGTCTAGAAGAATACCCAAATTGGATTCGATTTAGCAATGAGGAACTACTTCCCAACCTAGATTTTGACATATATCAAGTCAAGAAGAGCTATCCTTCGAGTAAAGCTTTCAAGTTAAAATCCACTCTACTTGAGAGCATACTGCATGGTGGTAGTAAGAAACCACCTTCATAGAAAAATTTAAACCAAGGCCTTTAAGTCCAGAAGAAGTCCCAAGATTGAGTATGATTTAGCAACCAGTAACTTCTTCACAGTCCAAAACCAACTCGCAATAAAGAGGTCGCTCACAACATAGCTTAAGTCAATAAGGTTTATCTATCGACTAAAGTTTTCAAGTTCAGAGTGTGTTGACCGCATGATAGTAGCAAGGAACTATCTTCTGGCCAAAATCCTCAAAGACAATGTCAACTTCACGATGAAGGATATCGATTTCAAGGAATTCCTTGAGTAGAAAAACCAATCATCCAAACTGAATTTAATATTTACAAGCACACTAACTAATAATTTTGTTGACTTTTGCAGATTCAATCACTTTAGGACCAAGACGTACTAGACAAATACTATCAAGCTCATCTACTTGAAGATGTAGAAGATGTAAAACATACCCTCATAATAGACCCAAAGAAGGCCCAATTATTCTTGAAGATGCAAATTAAGTGGAAGAGCATATCGTCCGAAGGATAAGAAAAGCAACAACACCATGGAATGAAGATGTGTCAATCGAACAAAAATAAGTTATTTTTATCTTTGCTCTATTTGTGTTACACGCCAATAAGCTAATATGGTAGGTTGTAATACCTGATTTTTGTCAGGCCTAGCTTTCTTTTCCATAGCCCAAACATTTAATTAAAGTTGATTTTGAAGCCCAAGATATCATCCAACTTATAAAAATATTTTAAACAAGATCCTAATGTTTTCAAGACATGTTGTCTTCTTGAGATGGAACTATATTTCAGTTAGCTTTTCAATGCATTTTGAAATGCTTCAATCGGACATTGAAAACTCAATATATTCTCATTTTTGTGAAGATGACACGTGCAAAAATTTTGATACGGGCCCCGCGGGAAATTTATTTTATTCCAAAATTTCAATTATTTTATTAATTATTTATGAATAAATTCAACTTTATAATTTCCATTATTTATTTAGGGTAATTTAAGATATTTTTATTATTTTAGGAATTTTTTCTTTTAATTAGTATATCTAGCATTAATGAAAAGATGTTGAGGTTTTTTCTTTAAGGGTTTTTTGGATCCTATAAATAGGCACTCTTATTTTGTAATAGAAAAAAGGGGAAGTATTGTAACCTACAAGATTTGAGCAATAAAAGAAAACTTTTGACTAGGTAATTATTTTTGTTTTTTTTTTCAATTACGTCTTGTATTTGTTTTATTTAAAAAAAAAGCTTTATTCGAAAAGAGAAAACCGAGGAACAAGAAAAAAATGCCTTTGAATTAATCTTCATAGATTTAGCCTTCCTTGGTGTTTTTCGATGAAAGTCGATGGTAGATCTTGAACGAATTTCTTTTTCCTATATTTTAGTTATTTATTTCGATTCGATTTTGATCTTTTCTATTTTTTTATTTTTTAGAATTTTATATTCAATTAAATGACCCGATGAACCTATCAAAATCCTTATGGGATCTACATATCTTCATATGGGCAGGGGATAATTATTTTTATGAATCTTCAAAATTATTCAATTGCTTGTAAAAGCAGATTTTTCATTCCAATTTAATACACTTCATCCTTTTCGTTATTTTATTAACTTGTTTAACTACTATTTTCTTTATCTTTAAAACTTTACTTAAATTTTAATAGAGTGTTCTTAATTTTTCCCTTTTATTTCAAAATCTCTACATTTTAATTTATGTAGATTATTTCCATTTTTTAACTTTTATAACATACATTTTCCACTTATTTTCTTAATTCGTTTAAAGTTGTTGATTTAAATTAGTACAATTAATTTTATTTGTTTTTTATTATTATTTTCATTTTCTTTGTTAGTTTAATTCCTCAATTTCATGCATTTATATTTTTGTGACGTGCGTCTTCTTAGTTTTGCATATTTATTTTCTTGTTTTTTTAGTGTTACCATGTTCGTAAATGAAGTGTTATGGTATCATTGACCTTTCTACCTCATGTTTGAATATTAGATCCAAGTTAGTTTTATTTTTATTTTTATATTCCAAAAAATATTTTATTTTGTTTTTCTATTATCGATCGTCTGAGGTAAATAATTCGAATGGAATCTAATTTTCTTTTAAAATTTATAATTTTCATAATTAAAATAACATGGTAATCGTGTGGTACCAAAGGGGTAATTTGGGATGCTCGTCTTTCCCCGATTATAATCGACTCTCGAATCCAACAATTCTTTGGTAAGACGCATATCCAATAAATGGGCAAAATAGGGTATCTGATCTACCTCATTCGAAAATGATCGGTGGGGACTCCATCATGATTCCAAGTTAAAGCGCATACACGAGACCACCTGAATGATCGTTGTGATGTGTGGATTGGCAACATTCTAACTTCTCCAAGAAAGATTGGGATGATTTCTGAAATTTGCATTGTATGTATTGCCAAAAGCATTATCATCCCTATGATAATTCCGAACATACTAGATAGACTCCGGATTTTGGGGGCATTCATCAAAATTTTGGTCATGACCACAATACACGCAAGTGATAAAATATACGGCTTTGACTTCATACATTCCTCGTGGTTTGTGTAATTTCTTCATCATTTCAATCAATGTTGAAATCTTAGAAGCCATAGACTTGAAACTTTGAGAGACTACTGCTGCAGTATTAAGCCGACCAAACATATTGCGCGTATTAGGATATTGGCAATCATTAGTGGAAATTCTTTCGAGGTTACCATATGCTTCATTGTATGTCTTATCCAATAAAAGCTCCATTTGCTAATGTATCCTCCACCATACGAGTGTGTATATTTAACTCATTATAAAGCATCTTCATTAAGTCGAATGTGGAGAATCCATGTACAGGAAACTTCTGCGGTAATTCTTTAAATCTTTCCCATGCTTCATACATGCTTTCATCTTCCATCTACTTCAACGAAGTTAAATCATTTCGAAGCTTAGCATTCATATTCAGCAGGTTGAACTGCAACAAGAATCTTTGCATTAATTCATTCCAGGATGCTATAGCACCTAGTGGCAGTGAACTCAACCAAACATGTGTTTTTTCAGCTTCAGCTTCAGTGCCTCCTTCAGAACACCTTGTTGATTAAAATAATCGCAAACCTCCATAAATGTTCTCAAATGAGCCCTAGGATCTTCAGCAAAAAATCCTCCATATTATCCCATGGATTGTAGCATTTGGAACATGACTAGCTTTAATTCAAAATTCACAGCATTAATAGCTAGCCTCACAATGTCCGGATGCATATCATCTAAAATCGACACCACATGATCATGAATAGGGTGATTAAGATCATCCAAGTTCTAATATGGTTGCCTAGTTCGATGTCAGCTGGCAACTTATCATTTTCTCCATTCTTTAGCGGGGCTAAAATACCATTCCCTCTTCCACTAAAGAAAATAAACAAGTAATCAAAATTAAGAAAACTCTAAACCAAATCGATGCTCCCCGACAACGGCGCCAAAAATTTGATGCAACGTAAGACGGTATAGCATTAAACGTAAATATATGTATTGCTCAAGTAATAAAGTAGTAGCAATTGATGCTACATATGTCGAACCCATAGGGAGCAGAGTGTTATCATTAGACGAGGAACCTATCCAGACTGAGGATCTAGAGCCTGATACCATCGATCCAATTAAGGACAACCCTCCCTCACTTGATCCACTGCGGCAAGTAAACCCACCCATGACTAGAAACTGCATGAAACAAGCAGTTAGATGTGCATTCAATTCCTCTATCGGGGCATTTGATGTTACAACACCTACACGCACCACATAGAAGACCGACCATGATAGCTCCACCCCAATAAAAAGTGTCTCAAGTGTTGGGAGCAAAACAACAACACCACTGCAGTGAGGTACCTCCATTGCATTTGTATCTACATTCATGTACTTTAGTTTAGTTTAATTTAGTCTTCATGCATTGAGGACAATGCTTCTCTCAAGTTTCGGGGAGGTATTGCTCATAGTTAAGCATTTGCATCGATAGTGTCAGTAGAAAATTTTTGCTATGGCATTAGTCAGGTTAAACTAGTGTTTTGGAATAAATTAATGATGCCCAATGATGATGAAAATTTTTTATGGTTGTGATTAAATGTACATGACTGCTGAGATTGATAGAACCAACTCTAAGACTTGATTCTTTGTGATTTATTGATAAACGATTGTATGTTTTCTGTAACATCCCAAAAATCAGGTTAGTGACGAAATTATAAAATTTTGAAAATTTGTGTGTAATTTATAAAAGTTAGGAAAAGTTTAAGGAATTAAGTGGTGATTTTCCCAAAAAGAATGTTATTTCATAACTGGTTTTATTTAGTGACCAAATTATACATTTGATAAAGTTTGGTGACTAAAATATAAACTTTGAAAGGTTTAGAGACCAAAATGTAATTTTAAAAAGTTACATATGGGTCGCGAAAATAAGAAAATAAAAATATTATTTTCACATTTTTTAAAATGTTGGAAAATAATATTTAATGGTTTTATACCATGTTCAATTTGAACTATCTGATTAAAGTGACTGAATTGTAATTTTTGGAAATTGCAAGGGAAAAAGGTAAAGTGGAAAACTAATTTGTTCATCTTTAACTATTGAAAGATGATAAGGTTGATATTTCTCTGATTTGGAAGATGATAAGGATATGAATCTTGGTTTTATGGTAATTATGAAGTTATATTAAGGGTAAAGTGGTAATTTGACATTGAATGAATGTTTAATTCGTTAAATATTAAGAAAGATGAAGAAATATCATGCTAACGTTCATCTTCTCCAGCATTTTCACGTGAGATAGCTTCCAATGTAAGAAAATATTTATTTTCCATTTTTGAGCCAATTCTTTTGAAATTCGAGTTAAGTCGTGAAATAGGAAAATGATATACGCGAAAAACGCTATCATTTGGTACCAATATTTCTTTTTAATCTTGTTGGATTTCAAAGATCCCATATCTAAGGGTTTATTTTCAAGATAGGATTCATGAAATTGAAGATAAATCTTGATGAATTAGAGGTTATAGATTCATTTCCAAGCTTGATTTTTGGCTAAAACATGTTTAATCTTCCTATAAATTATTATGTAAAATTCTGTCAAATTATAAGTTGGGGAACTTTGTGTTTTGATGAAAGTTGATTAGGGATTTGATTGTAGAGATGTTATAAGGTTGATTGAAAGTTGATTTCATGCTTGAATCGAATCAAAATCGAGTAAAATCATGAAAAACCTAGTTTTGGAACTTTAAACCATTAGGCTTTGGTCTTAAAGGATGAGAAAAATTATGGAAAAATCATGGAAAAATTATATAAGGTCTATAAATGATGAAGAAAGTATTCTACAAGCCTTTAAAAAAAATTAGGGACCATTTTCTAATTTTGAAAAGTTAGGGGACCAATTTGTAATTTTTGAAAAAGTTGGGAATGGCTGTATAATTGTTTAATAGTTGATGTATTACACTGGAAAATGTTGTTTTGGAATTGAAATGAGTGTTTAGATGTGAAATATGACTATTTTTAAGTTTAAAAAGATTGGTCATTTAAGTACAATATTCGCATAGTTGGGGTACTTAAAGGTAGTTATGCCTTTTCAAAAGCATTTGAATGGTAATAATTTCAATGCTAAAATTTTTGGTATTAAGATTCTAAGTGATAAAATGGTGAAGGACCATTTTGTGTAAATTGGAAAAGTTGGTGTAAATATTAAAAAGGAATTATTAAGTGTTAAGTATTTTGATAGAAAATGAGTTTCAAGTATATTATGGATTTTGTATTAGAGATGTGTTTATGTTAGTACAGTACTGACATATGTATCGTTATGAAATTGTAATTTGTACAGATAGTTATTGATTTGTGACTAAGACAAGTCAAGTATAAAAGGGTTGTTGTGGATTATAGTGAGGAACATATTTTGGATTTATAAAGTGTCAAGGTGAGTGCAATTTAATTTGTATTTATGTTATCGAAAAAACATTGGCTTGTGATGAGCCAGTGACGGAGTTACTATGGTAAGAATTGACTCCTAAAATGTTATTTGATTGGTGATTAATGTGATTCTTATTTGTGCATGGGTATATGTATCATATGTTATTATATGTGACATGTTTATATGAAAACATGAGAAATGATAAGTTATATGATATGATCTACATGATTACATACACATGCGGCATATGTGATATGATATGAATCAATGTGATATGGGTTATATGACAATGATCTATGAGATCATACAAGAATGATCTATGATAATGCCCATGTTATGTTATATGACAATGATCTATGTGGTCCTTTGGGACATTTATGTATATGGTTCATTGGAACATATATGTGGTACTTTGATACACTTACGTGGTCCATTGGAATATGTATATGGTTTTCAAGGCGTGGTCCTACGGGACACAGATGACATCCTTCGGGACATACAAGAGTAAAGAGTTCTATGTGGTCCTTTGGGATATATATGTAATCCTTTGGAACATATATGCGGTTCTTCGGGACACATATTTGGTCCTTTGGAATATATATGTAATTCTTACGGAGTGGTCCTTTGGGACATATACTAGATCCTTTGGTATATATATGTGATTCTTAAGGATTGCCCCTAATGGGACATTATACAAGCTATGGAGGAAGTATATGTGTGCACAACCTCAAAGTACTCACATACCTTAAGTTCTCAGTATGGTACATGGGATTATAAAAGATATCAGCATTGTGCATGGGCCTATAAAAGATATCAAAAGTGTTTGCATTATTAATGATATTGATGTTGAGAATGATAGAAATCATGATAATGATATTGATGTTGATAATGATGATATATGTGCATGTATGGATTTTGTTATATGGTTATATTTTATTATATGTCTGATCATGAGAGTTCCCAAAGTGAGGCGGGAGATGGTAGACATGAAGGAAGTAGCAATTCACCGACTCTGGCCAGGCAAGATGAAGAACAGGCACCTCCGGGAGTGGCTGTAAAAGATCAAGATGTGTTCTTTAGGACATTGAACGCTGTCTTGAAGCGTTTTCAACCTCCTGTTCCCTCAACTCAAAGAATAAATATTGCAAAACAGTTGAAAAGATTAGGAGCTCCTAAATTTAAAGGTGAAGCCGAGGAAGATCCTGTTGTTGTGGACCTTTGGCTCAATGATGTGAAGATTATGTTAGATGAAATCCACTGTTCTGATGTGGAGAAGTTAGATGGAGTGGTCTCTTTGCTTCATGGACAAGCAAGAATCTGGTAGAAAATATTACCTTGAGGATGACCAGCGATCAAGTAACATGGTCCTTGTTTATAGAAGAGTTTAAGCACAAGTATATTGGAGATCAGTTTATAAGACAAATGAAGAAAGAGTTTATGAGTCTGAAGCAGTTGAATCGCACCATATATGAATATGAGTGTGAGTTTAATAAGTTGAGTCGTTTTTCTGCTGAGCTTATTCCAAAGGATACATGTGAATTGTTTATTGAAGGCTTGCATCCTCGACTGAAAGAGATGTTAATTATTTTGAATCTTTCCTCTTTCCAAGAGGTTGTCAATCGTGTTAAAGCTCTAGAGAGAGCTCAGAATGAGAGGTTGGGAGAGCAGAAAGCTTAGATGTTTAAGAGACCTGGTGCTTCGTCGAGTTCAATACCATTAAAAAGGGGTCGAGATTCTGGTTTCCAATATCAGGCAAGGTCGAAGTCAGCTGCATCCTTTACTAGAGGAACAAATCAGGGGAGAGTTGGGCAGACGCAATCTCTAGGGTCTAGTATTGGAAGATCGAATCAGGGTCAGTTAAGACAGTGCCAGCTTTGTGGAAGGAACCATACATGAATATGTCGATTAAGCTCTGGAACTTGTTTTCAACGTGGGGACACCAGACATTTTATCTGAGATTGTCCATTGAGGCCTGGAGTGCATGAACAGGCGGAGCGATCTACTTCGGTATCTCAAAGAG